TTGGCTGTAGTTTTAAGTGCTTTGTGACACAAAAGTAGCTTTGGGAACGTGTTCTAGTGGGTTCTGTTCCTGCCCTGTGCAGGTCCTCATCTCGAGCTGTTCTCGGTGTCGGACTTGTGACTGTTTGGTTCATGATGAAGAAATCATGGCAGGCTGGACAGCAGATGATTCAAATCTCAATACCACGTGTCCCTTCTGTGGCAATTTATTCCTGCCCTTTTTAAGCATAGAAATCAGAGATCTTCGGCGGCCTGGACGGTAATAACAATATTTGAATTTTCCTCGCTTTTAAATGCTCATATTGGAAATGGAGCTTTTTTTGTTTGGGATTTAGGTTATTTGGGTTGTCTTTGGTTTTCTGGGATTCTTTGGTTGTTTTTTGGGGGGTTTTTTGGCTTTTTTTCTGGATAATATTAAGCTTTTGATTTTCCCCTGCAGGTATTTTCTGAAGTCCAGCCCTTCTACAGAAAATATGCAGTTCCCATCCCTTTTCCCCAATCAGAGTGGGAAGTCCTGTAACACCACAGCCACTGTTGGCCTCACTACATCCCTGATGTCTGTCCAAGAGGATATCAATTCAAATAGGTAAATGTGCATTTCTTGCCTAGGAATTCCTCAGCTTCACTGTGCATATGCATGTATTTTAATCAACAGAAATACATTTATATTCTTTGAAGAGGAGAGATTGATTTGAGAGAGGATCTCTCTGCTGCCTCTCCCATATCTCTCAGCTGGCCACATCATCCTTTCTCTGCCTAATACACACCATTTCATCCCTAATATAGAAGTTCATGTTGGTATTTGTAATTCTGCAAGTTTTATGAACTCTTTTGAGGATGTTTGTGTTCATCATCAGTGCAAGGGGGAATAAATCTTGCACTGTAATGTGAATGAGTGTGGTGACTGACAAGGCAGAATTCAAACTGTCAGGTCCATTATTTCCAGTTTATTTCTGTCTGTTTGTGTACATGTTGGTGCACTCAGAGTAAAACAAAAAGCTGAGATTCTTTTTTCTTCTTTTTTTCCCCCTCTCCTCTAGCAAATCTAAGCAGCATGACAGTGTTTATGCCAGAAGTATCCAGATCCCCTCAGGAAGAAGACAAAATGCCTCTGGGTCAGAATGTACAAGTCATCCTGTAGCAAGGAGCATCAGTACTTTTGGTCCTTTGGAAGAAGATGAGAAGGAAAACCAGAAGATCAGCCATATCATTCCTACTGGTAGCCTGCCTGCTACTTTGCAAGGACCAACAGTGTGTAGTTTTTCTACCTTAAAAGTCTTTTTTTCCTGTTTACCATAGATAAGATAATCTGTAACAGCATTAACCTTCCTAAATTACAGTAAATGCTAGGTTGTATTATTTAAACTAATGCTGGTTGTAGCTTTTAGATTTTGGTGTGTGTGTTATAGGGAACAAAAGCATTTATAAGACCTTGGAAAGGCAGTTACATTCATTACATTAGTTACAACTAATGGCATTTTATCTCTGTTACTGCAGGATTCCCTGGGCCTGGAATGGCGCTTGCCTAGTCCTGATCCTATAACAGTTCCGTACCTCAGTCCTCTCGTCGTATGGAAAGAGCTTGAAAGCTTACTTGAAAATGAAGGGGATCATGCAATAACAGTGGCAGACTTTGTAGATCATCACCCCATCGTGTTCTGGAATTTGGTGTGGTATTTCAGGCGCTTGGACTTGCCCAGCAACTTACCAGGATTAATACTTTCTTCTGAGCACTGCAATAAGAACTCCAAGGTATGGACTCTGATAGAAAACACTGACATATGAGAAATGGTTGTTTTCCTGTATAGGAAACCATTACATGACTCAGTAACTCTTTAGAAACATGTCTTGCACTATGCTGAGCCCAGTCCTGAATTGGTAAAGAATGTGTCAGCTGAGGGAAGATATTCAAAACTCAGGAACATGTGTTCAGCAGTCCTTGTGAGGGGCAAGTGTTTAGCTCTTACTCATCCCACTGCAATTTGTGATCCTCAGTTTCAAGGAGGATAAAGTTGCCAGTCAGTTTTGTTGCTATTTGAGTAGCTAAGCAGTAGAAGGAGGAAATTTACATTTTAGGACTGTAGAAAATAGGCAAAATACTCATTTGCCATGTCACTAATGATCTCATTCAGATTTAACTTTCTGTATGTAGTTTTAATAGCAAAGCTTTTTTACCATGAGACCTAGAGATGTGAAGTTACATGTTAAATACAGAACTCCTTTGTCATGACTTCGTAATAAAATGCCTTTGTGTGTTCTCCTGTTCAGATTCCACGGAACTGTATGTCAGAGGACAGTAAATATGTTCTTATTCAGATGCTATGGGACAATATGAAATTGCATCAGGATCCAAGGCAGCCTCTGTATATTCTGTGGAATGCTCAGAGTAAGTTTTCTTTCTTGTGGATTTTGGTGGTATTTTTTAAGAACACCTCTCATTCTGAGCAATTGAAGCATGTGTGTTGAGAAAAGATGTCTTTGTGGATAGTTCACACGAGCTACAATACAGATTTTTGATCATACTGCTTTTTGTCTTGCAGGTCAAAATCGCACTCTTTTGTTTGAGAGTGAGTGTTCAGTTTGGTGTTGCTATTCTCAGTTTGGGTGATTTGTTTTGGGAGGGAGGTTCTGTGCTTAGCAGTAAACTGCTTGAACAAGTTTTAGTTTTCCAGCATTTCTGTTTCAAATCATTGACTGGTATTGCCAGTGGCTTTTGCTTCACTGGGATGGGAGGAATGAGAGGGAATACGTTTCATTGATGCCATTCATCCACTTAGCTCATGTTCTTATTTTTAGAATTTGCTTTCTCAGAGTTTTGTTGCTGGTGTTGGATCACACACCTGAAAATAGCTCGTGGCCCATTGCATCTGTTGAGTTTTCTTATGTGCTTTTTGTGTTCTACGTTGACAGTTTTTTGACTTGGATGTTTTGTTCACTACATACATGTCAATATTTTCACAGATTCTGTAGCCTTTTTTTAACAACTCTGTACTTGCTACACAAAGAATCTGTTTATTCTTACACCCTTTCTAATGTTTTTCAGCCCAGAAGTACCCAATGGTCCAGTTATTGCAAAAAGATGATGACTCCTTTAACCAGGAGCTCTTGAGGAGTATGGTGAAAAGCATTAAGATGAATGATGTGTATGGACCAATGAGTCAGATCCTGGAGAGGCTCAACAAGTGGCCACATATTAAAAGACAGAGGTAAGACCACCAGCATGCCTAGCTGGAGCAGAGTTGGGCAATAATCAGCTTATTAATGTGAATTATATTTTCCTAGTCTGTTTTTTTTAAAGGAGAATGCACTGTTTTTCACCAGTGTTCTCAAATTTATCACTCTGGAAGAATTTTTATGGTACCTTTCACAAACTTAGTTTCACCATTATTTTTCTTTTTACTTTTTCCTCTTCCCCCTCCCCCTTACAGCCACCTCTTTTTCTTACCTCTGAGCAATGGGACCTAGGAATTGTGTATATATGTGTATATTTTATTATTGAATGTAATTCATAAATTAGTAGGTGTTTTAAAATAAAACCTCTACACTTGTTTCTAGAGGATATATGGGTAAATTTGGGGTTTGTTTTCAAGTCTTCTGTAGAGGGCAGAAAAGGAGCTAAGAGAGGTTATGTCTCATATTTAGACAGGGTTTTTTTCCATTAGCAGTGGAATTGGTGAACATTAATTCCTGTGAATCTTCATTTCTTGCCTAGATTTACTGACTTATACAAGGGTATACAACAGGCTTGTCAACAGCTGGAGCATTGACAAGGTGTTTATTTGCTTGTCTGCCTGCTTTTTCAAGCTAATGTGAAAATGCAGAAAAGCAAATTCCTTGCCTGGTGAAATTTTGTGGAATTTGGTTGAGTGTTTAAGTGTGTGTTTCTTTCTGCATGCAACTGGTGCAACTTCCAGGGGACCTACCATGGGTGATGTCCATATGTGGGGAGTCCAGGACATTCTCCAGAGCTCAGAAATGACAATATTTTGAAGGCACAACCAGGAATTATGTTCAAAATGCCTCTTTTTAATAAAATGTCTTTAAATGCCTCAATCTATTTTTAAGAGATTGTTTTGTGCTGTATCAGTGCAGTATATAAATTGGGGTTTTTACCATTTCAGGAGCCTTTACAGAGAAATACTGTTTCTTTCACTTGTTGCCCTGGGAAGAGATAACATTGATATAGGTGAGTTCTGCCAACTATTCAAATGAGCACAGCTGATGAATTTATGTGAACTTAGTTGTTCAGCTTCCAGAAAAAATAATCCGTAGATTAGATGTGTGCCACTCTGTAGTAAGTGCCAAATAAAAAGGACTTTACTTTTATTTTGTGCTGATAAATGCAGCTGTCGTGGCATTTAGGTGATGTTTTTGAGCTTGGTATCTAAAGTTGTTTTTCCCTTCCTGCAGATGCTTTTGACAGAGAGTACAAAATGGCCTATGATCGTCTCACCGCTAATCAAGTAAAGAACACTCATAACTGCGATAGACCACCGAGCACTGGAGTGATGGAATGCAGAAAGATTTTTGGAGAGCCATATCTTTAAATACACCTGGCTAAAGAGGTGATATCTATGACGTATCTGTGTGTAAAATAACCACTTCAGTCACAAGGAACATCTCAGTCTTCAGTGTTCAGGAACGTGCGTGCGATGGACTGTGGCAGGAGGCCTCGGGAAATTCGGCCTGGCTGCGGTTGTGGAGATGGACAGAGAGCAAAATGGGCCAAATACTATTTCCCTGTCCCTTGTCCTTTCTGGAAATCGGTGTGTGGAGAGGCAGGTTCTAAACAAAATCAGTTCTCTGACTTGGGACAACATATTACAGCTCCCTTAAAAAAAAAGTAACAGGTGGACAGAAACAATGCACTGAAACTAATGTGAGCGAAGGAAATTCTTCAGAATCTATTGTTTACATAGAATATTCATGATGTTATGAAGAGCATACAAAGTTGTATTATACATATTTTAAATTGTTTATAGTAAGTTGATATTTTTTTAATTTTTTTAAATTACTGGAGTGAATTTTAAACGGACTTGCTGCAGAAGCAATACAGTGCTTATTTTTTTTGCAGTACACTGCTATTTATAGTAACTTGTCCAGTTACTTTTTCAAGAGTGATTTGTTTTTAAAGCAGAATAGAAAATGTTAACCTTCACCTAGACAGTACTGGAGATCCAGGATTTCTCATGCACACTTGGAAAACATGTTACCACAGCAGTCAGAAGGAAGGTATGGTAAATTTTGCAAAACTCTAACGAATACACTGATGTCTTTGTGAAACACTTCTATAGAAATCTCCTCTTCCTCTCATGTTCCCTTCCCTCCCCACTCCCTAGTAGGAAAGGGAAAACACATTGAAGAGTCCTATGGATTTTATTTTGGAATCAGCCCATCTCAGCTGCTGGCATTTGTTAGTGTGGCCTCATTCCAGATGTGCCAGCCTGCAGTGAGTTCTCCAGGAACATGCAGGGTTCACAGTCTCAGTGGTTGTGTTTGAAACACTCAGTACAACACCACATAATGCCCATCCAAAACTTCTAACTCAAGTACATCCAGAAAACTTGCTACAGGGAATTACAGGGAATGTAACTTATTGGGGCATATTGTGCTTAGTTAAATATACTTGGAATGTTTGGTCTCTGTTTCACAGGCAAAACAACTACTTTTTTTTCCTCAGAAGAAAACTGCTAAATCAATCCTTGTGGTGGAGTCATGGCTTTTGCTTCTTGTTTTCTTGTTCTAGACATTTAAAAAATGTTCTGTGCTCTCAGTCACATAGCAACTCCTCACCAGAAGGTAGGCTACAGGGAAAATATCAGAAGTCTTGCATGGAGGTGGGAAAACAGACATTGAACTGTATAAAACACCCTAAACAAATTTTAAATCATGCTTTAACAAATAGTTTTATTTTAAGTAATCTTAATGATTTTCTATTTTTAATTTAAGTTGTTGCTGTTATAATACTTCCAAATATTCAACTATTACATTAGATTTTATATTGCAGTCTGCCTACCAGTAGGCGTTTTTAAAAACATCTTCGATTAGCAAGTATCATAAACCAGCAATACTTAGGCAGGAAGGTAATAAACCTTAAAGCTCACAGATACTTTATTAAGTGAAATAGAGCAAGTCTTAGAGGCATAAATGAAAAGTGATGCTGCTATGAAGCTCTGTAACCTCCTCCCAGACCTCTGTAGAGTTGTAAGAAGAAGCTGCCCTAAGAAGAAAGGATTTTAAACATGTAGAGCTGCAGGTATGTGCTGATGATAATTGCAGGATGTAGTCTTGGATACAGCTCCCATCGGGTAATGCCTCTTCTCTAACATGCTGCTAATTATGTAGCTGACCTTTTTGAAAGTATCCCCCAACCTGAGGTGGAGCTAGCAGTGCTACACTTACCACATCTTTCACATTTAATTTATTTTAACAATTTGTGATGCTCTTTTGTACTGCCACGCTTGTACAGTGTCCTTTGTGCATGAAATGGAGCTCCTTTTTTCACCCAGGTACATGGTAGAGATACCCTCTTCATTCCTCTGAACTATTGTAAAATAAACAGGCTATTTTTGAACACATTCCCTGTAAGTACCCCTTAGTGTGCATGGCTGCTCTGCTCTGTACAGTAGGAATGCTGCTTACTTACCATGGAAATCTTGCCTCCAGTAGTTGCTGTACTTAGGCTCCTAGCTGGGTGTGCCCTGGGGAAAGTCGTGTTCCCAGCTCCCTGCAGTTCTGTTTCCCACTGGGACAGCCACTGTTCTATAGGACCTTCAAGCCATGAAATGAGAGAGAGCAAGTGCTTTTTCCAGAGCTGCTGTGGGGTGTTAGAGGGGCTGAGCTATGACCCAGCTTCCCGCTCCCATCCTGGGGTGGCTGAAGAGCTGAGCCCGCTCCCCAAACCCAGGACACGGCGCAGGTGTGGGGGCAACACCGTCACACGTGGCCCTTCCTCCATCCTAGTCCCAGCCTCCTTATAAGGACTTCCAACTGCCTCCAGACTTATAAACCCAACCAGTTTCACTTCTTACCAACATCCCCCAGCCCTGTCAGGGAGTGGGTACTGCCCTGGGAGCAGGGCTGTCCGTGCAGCCTTCACACAATCCCTCTGTTCCTGCATCCCCGGCGTGGCTCTCCTGAAGCGTTGCCAGTGTTAATTTGGGTGTGCTTTTAAATTACTCTATCATGTAGTAGTTCATCAAGTAAAATCATTATACTTAATGAATTGTTTTATAAAGTCTGTTGCAAGTCAGTCCACTGTAGAAATATATAAAAATAGAGTTGGAATAACATACTATAAGTGGGAAATTTTCTTCATTTATGTCATAATGTTCCAAATGTATCCTGAGGTCGACAATTTTTAAGCATCATACAATTCAGTATTAAAACAGTTTTCAAATATCACTGTCCTTTATTAGAAAAGCAATTTGACTATATTTTCCAATACCACAAAGATAAATAAATAAAATATTTGAGACATATTTTCAATTTAAAATTTTGTATGAAATGAATTTTCTCCTTTTGTGTACTAAATAATGCTAATATCCAAAACCTTAAACAAAGGTTTTACATTTGCAGTGCAATATATATTTTCCTTTACTTATGGTTCCACTGGAATAATTATTGGAGATGAAATACTGAAATGTGAATAGAAATTGTGCTGTTTCTCTGACACTGCTGTGTCCCATTTGAGAAAGTTTGCTGTTGGTACAGTTACAGCCTTATGAATTTGACTTCCACTGGCAAATTAAATTATTTGTATCCCAAGAAAGAGAAAAGTCCTGCATGTAAAATCTTAGTGTAACAAATGGGAGATGCAAATAGTAATAATAGAGAGGGGTATTTCTGGATATTATCTCACTGGGATTTAAAAATGGTACTTTGTTAGTCTGCAAGCAGCACTTTTTAAATGAATGGTTGTAGATTTGTAAATATGTAATGTTTAAATTTTATTTACCAAAAAAACAGTATGTTGGATGTTTGCTTTGGTTTGTAGTTCCTTTAAAATATGCAAAGTCAATGTTCACAATGTTAAGGTTTTTTTCTGTCTCATCCAAAAAAAGAAGTTTTACAGTGAGTCAATAAAAAGCTTAAAATCTTTCTGGTTATTTTCATTAACATTTTATTAGATTGATTAGAGTGACAGAAATGTCTGCAGCTCTTAACCACATTGTGTGCTCCCATGAGGTGTTAACAATAAACCTCTCGGGTATGGTGATGTCACTGGTGTTTTTTCATCTTGTTTATGTAGAAGTCAGTGCTAACAAGAATTATTGCTGCTTAAATAATCTGTAGCTGTCAGAGATTAGTGTCTGGATGAAAACAAGCCCCCAGCATTCAACTCCTTGTTGTATTTGATTGCTTTAGTTTTGATTAGAGGTAATGTGGTGTTCTAACCCCTGAGTCTTGTTGCAGCAAGATGTAAACCCAGGTGCCATCACACTGGTACTGGTGTCACTTTACAGTTTTAGTCACTGCATTGCAAGATCAGGTACAGATCTGAAAGGAGCTCAGTGCAGTTTGAGCTGCAGCCTGTGTCCACACAGGGATTTTAAGCAGAGCAGTTCCATAAAGGCCCAGCCACATCAGTCTGATTGTCTTCCCACTGAAATAAAATTCATTGATTTCAGGGAGTTTGAGCAGTTCACTGACCAGTTTGGAGTGTTTTCCTGAAAAAAATTTATAATGAGTAAATATTTTGTGTGAAAATCAGCTCCTCTACCTTGAGAGGATCAGCCATAGTGAAAATTTGATGCATCTAAATTGTATCAGCCTTTCCACAAGTGCCTAAATGTGTTTTATTTAATATTGGTCATTTCAGTATCTGTTCTGATCCTAAAGAAAAACAGTAGAGGCTGACACACCACTTAAGACTGATTTATGTTTTAGCATGTTAAAGATACCTTATTTTCAGTAAGATTGTTACAATTCTGGTTGCTTTTTTTCAGTAGAACAACTGCTACCTCAACCCCCTTTTGATGTTGCTGGATCCTTGCACACATCTTGAAGTGTCCATATGTCATACAGATACTGGGCAGGATATTATCTTGTCCTCTAACATCACACTGATGATCAGAAACACAAAGTAAAGAGCAAACATGGTGAGCCCCAGTAGTTTGTTCATTTTCCATTTACAGACAGCAATAGAGAGAATCACAAACAGCAGCATGAGGAAGAGGAGAACAATTGCACAAAACAAACCATTGCTGCTGACTGCCACAGGACTGAGACCATTGAAGATAGAAAAAAGGAACCAAGGAACTGGCAGGCTGCAAGGAAAGGAAAAGTAATTGAAATAAATGTTTTAAGGCAGTTCATTTTCTCTACCATAACTAAGCAATTTTTCCAAACTGCTACAGGAAAAAAAATAGCATGATTGTATTCAATATAGCTCAGCATAAATCTAAACTGGATGTTGTTCCTGTTAAAACTGCATTTGGATAATGCTTGCACTATCAATGCAATCCAAGACTAAAATGGTTTGAAAATAATACCTAAGTGCCTTGGTGTGCTGTAACAAAGAAATGTCCTGATGGTTTAGGATGGGAGATGCAGGCACTGATACTGACCTTTGCCAGGAGCTGAGTGACCAGATAACATTCCTGCCTGTAGAGCTTGGACATTAGCCAAAGGTTTCTTGCATTTTGAAAAACTGGTAATTTTGTGTTGATTCAGAATTGGGTGAAGGTAGTGGGCTGCATTATAACAGTGTTTCTTTCCTGGCTGGGTTTGGGTTGGGCTTCTTCCAAAGGAACTGGTTGCTCAGCTTCCCTTCACTTAACTACAGCTAAAATGAAATTAACTGAAGCATGTTTGGTTTCAAACCAGGTAACTTTGTGTTTCAGAAGAAATGCTCCCCTTAGCATGGAGCTGGTACTCACCCAACAGTGATGTCGAAGATGTTGCTGCCCACAGAACTGGACACAGCCATGTCCCCTAAGCCCTTCCGGGCCACGATGACACTGGTGATGAGGTCAGGGATGGATGTGCCTGCTGCCAGTATGGTTAACCCCATAATTTCCTCTGAGATCCCAATTGTTTCACCAACCTAATCAACACAGCATTGGGGAGGGCTGTTAGCAGTGGAACATGGAGTATAATTGCTCTGCGCAGTGTTAGGGTTTGTGCTATATTTGAGTTAAAATAGTCCAGGTCCATAAAAGTGGCAGAATTTTCCTGCTTTATACTATTAAAAAATTCCATTTTACTGTGTTGATTCTGGATTTTCTCTGTAGTGTAGGAAATCTGAGCACAGTGATGCCAGCACTGAGCTGAGGTCAAGTCAGCTACAGCACAATTTTCCTGTCCTCAGTCCTCCTCTTCTGGATGTTGTCTGCCTTTGGAAATTTAACATCAGCTGTGCAAGATCTAAGGGCCTTTGGAAATGACAGTCCTTGGATTTATGGCATGATCAGATCTACTGTGCATGTGCAATATATCACTCAATACAGATGGGGGGGCTGATCCTGCAAGATGGAAGTATTATTTCCCAGAATACCAGGTGAATGTTAACATGGGGGAGTGAAGATCATTTAGCAGCTTCCAGAATCAAAACCGATATTTTCCTAGAATTTTAATTAGGTAATGGATAATTATGTTCTGCACAGAAACATTCATCAATGAAAAGTCAGAATTAAGATAAATCTTGATGGTGCTTTTCCTTTCGCTGATGCACAAACTCCCTTGGAAGCTTTCAGAAATGAATGAATCTTTGTCAAATAAAAAAAAAAGGAAATCAAAAATTCCCTTTTGGGTTCTAACAAAACAAAGTTTCTACTGTTGTGATGGATGACTGCAGCTGTAATTCATCAGATAAAATGCCACAGTAATACTGTCCCCTCTCTCCATCTGCTTGTTCTGAAAAGGAGATTTGCAGAGAGAACAAAACCTCTCACCTGGTGAGCCCACCACACCATGAGATAAGAGAATGCAGCAATCCAGAGGATGGATCCAAAAAATGTGATGACAAAGAATTTTTTTGACTCCTGTTGAAATCGAGTTTGAAAAGAAAAAAGAGAAGTTTCAGGTAAATTAATAGTCCCTGTTGAAAACTATTCACCTGAAACACTTCACTGCAATTGATTGCTTTAACTTGGACCCTGGTCTTTGTTTGCTGCTTTTCAGCTTGATTAGGTGACCTGTAGTTGCTAGAATTTGTGGTTTATTAAATTAAGTCTCTGCAATGACATTACACTTCAGCTGGGGCTCCTGTCCCACTGCCTGCAGCAGTAACAGCCCTTCAACTATGCAAAGACTCCAGACATGGAGAAATGGACCCAGGGACTCTTGCCCAGAGGAAATCTATAGCTCAGTTAATGACTCCAGTAGCAGGAAGATAGATTCTTACTGGGTTTCTGACGTCAGGCAGAGTGCTCCAGAGAGGAAAGACAATGGGAAAGAGGAAAAGGTAAATTGCTTGTTTTGTCCTTGATTCTGGCCATTCCAGAGATAAGGGCTCATTGTTTTCATCACCCTCTGTGCTGTCACCATCGCTGTCCTGGCTCTCAGAGCTGCTGTCGTCTGAGGTGTCACTGCTTGATGGTGGCTGTACCTCAGGATAAAAAATTAAAAGCCAATATATTTTCACACTAACAAGCAGCTGCAGTTACTCACTGTGGCCTCACCTGAGCAGAGCTCACATTTGTAACCTGCTGAAGGCAGCCACAGCTCCTGTGGGACAGGACCCAGGCACAGCCCACCCCAGCACCTGTGTATTGTTAACTAATGGGCATCCATTAACTAGAAACACCTTTTAGACACAAATTAATTATTTTATGTCCTTAAAAAACCTTTTTTTCATTGGAACTGCTAAATAATGTCACCCAAAAGGGATTTGGGGAGCAAAACAGAAGAGTCTGCTGGTGAGCATAGGACAGCCAGGTGCTCTTATTTCCCCTTCCCCTGGGGAGATACCTCAAAGAGTCATTTGAGGGGACAATACTATCCAGTAACTTGGTGTCATAATCTGGACCAAATCTGTGTTTGTGTTTCAGCCAGCATTTTAAACCACTACACACAGAACCTTATGTATAGATGCCAGTGACATAGGTTGGGTCCTGTCCCAACAGCTCTGGAGAGGGGAGAAGGAAAGTACACATGAAGATCAGCCTGGATGGCATGTAGTGCCTGTGCTCCTGATGTTGATACCTGTCCATCCTGTGGCACATCTGCCTCCTCTGTGTCTTTGCTGGGCTCAGAGTCACTGCCAGGAGTTACCTGGATGGTGCTTGCTGCTTTCTTTTCTTCTTCTGCAAAAGCAATAAGAAAAAATGCTGGTTTCAGTCATCCTGGATGAGCAGCAGAAGTGATACCAGGGCATCACCTTCCCTGTCACCAGCAGGAGCTCTGAACTCCCTACCACAATGCTGGCATTTCAGGTTAAACCCCCTCAGATTGCTTAGGTTTGTTGTGTGTCCTCCCTGGCTGCTGATGATTGTGTTTGGTAAATCTGGGCAGAATTTGGACCACCTGGAGTAGAACAAGACCTTGGTGCTCCTCTCACCTTCCATGCAGAACTGCTGTAAGGGGCACTTGTGTAACAGGGAAATGCTAATTACCTCATCTACAGCTGATGAGCATTTCTTGGGTCTCTTTTTAGATGCTGAAGGTTGTATTAAAACCATCCTTATAACCCAGAAAGGATGTAAAGCTTTGCTTCTCAGGTTTCCCCCCAGCTCCCCACTCCCTCCATAGAGCAGGGCATTCTCCAGGGACCTGATACTCTTTAAGGCTTCCGAGAAATGACCAGGATGTGCTGCCAGACTTTAATCCCTGACCATTTGGTGGGTATTCAAAAGCAAATAGGAAAGTGCTGACACATACAAGGAAATAACTGCAGTGTCCTGCTGTTCCTGCATTAACCTGCATAGCCAAGAGGAACACAGAAACCTCTGTGGGAACAGAGCAGAAATATGGATAACACAGAGCAGGGATGAGGGAGTGAAGTCAGTGTAGTGTTCATAGCACCAAGAATTTACTTGGGTTTTAAACAGTGTTTTTCTCAAGTTTGGGATCATTCACCTCTGTGAGGCTCAGTGTTGGGAGGTGCTCAGGTGCCTGTGTTGTGTGGAGCTGGGATCTTCCACACAGAAGTTTCTTGGTGTTCAAAAGCTCCAGCCTTGCTGGCAGCACAAATCTGTGTTATAGCACAGGTCAGCTCTGGCTTTGTGTCAGGAGTGACAGAGAAAACCCCAAAAAATATTAAACTGACAGAGGCCAGATCTGGGTTAAATGTTAGATTAGAAATTCTTCCCTGTGAGGGTGGAGAGGTCCCAGCACAGGGTGCTCAGAGAAGCTGTGGCTGGTCCATCCCTGGAAGTGTCCAAGGCCAGGCTGGACAGGGCTTGGAGCAGCCTGGGATAGTGGAAGGTGTCCCTGCCCATGGCAGGGGGTGGTAAGGGATGGTCTCTAAGGTTCCTTCCAACCCAAACCATTATACGATTCTGTGATTCTATTAAAGGAAAGGTGCACAGATCCTTGGAATTGTTATAGACACAGTGTGGATTATTCCCTCTGGAGGAACCTTCTGCAAGTCTGTGAAGGTACTTTGTTTTAACAAACACCTCATTTGTAGGGTCTACCAAAGACCAGCAGCAGCCAAGTGCAGTCTGCAGTGCCCTGATTTCCCTCCTGCCCTGTTCCATGGCCATTTCAGTCCATCCTTGTACTCTCCCTGCCCTGCCTCACTAACAGCTCCCCTGGGGATAGCTGTTCCTGCCCGCCTGCATCGATTGATTGCTGCTGCATTGTTACAGCAGCCATCTGTGCCCAGCAACAGCACAAAATCTGTGTTAGACCCCAGGGTTTCTTTGCCAGCTGGGAAGGTGAGGGCTTGCAGTGCAAAACAAGGCAAACAGTGCTGGCTCTTCCTGCACTCACCTGCCTGGGAGCCTTGTCCTTCCAGGGTCTCAGCCTTGGCCTTGGCCATGTTGCTCAGGATGTCAACCCTGTCTTTAAATTTTGCTGTGGGTGAGAAGGACACCATCATCAGGGGCTGTCACTGCAAAGACCCCCTGGACCTGCCTCCCCCACCACAAACCTGCTCTTGCCCCCTTCCTCCTGCAGCTGCTGCAGCCAGCACTGCCCAGGGATTGTACTGGCTGTGACCCCCCCCCAGATTTTGGTCATAGCTGTTGTATTTAACTGCTTAGTGCTACAGCAATTACAGCAGCAATTTGACATGGAACTATTTAAAGAGAATCTAGAGGAATGAGAAATCCTTTCCAGGTCAGTAATACAGATGATATCTGTACTTCATAGGAAAAAAATGCAAAAAGAACAGAGGGGGAGTTTTGGTGCAATATCATCTTGTTCCCAAGGGACTATTGATTTTTTTTTTCCTAGGCTAGATTATGAGCAAACTGAAAATGACACCTTCTTCCTGCCATGTGACTGTTGAAGAGGCTTTAGGGTGCTGCTTACATGGACCTGATGAGAATGTAAATTAAACACTTTTTATGTTCCAGTTCCCTGGAAAATGATTGCTTTTCTAAGTATACACAAGTGTCTCCTGCTGGAGCTGATCTAAATTCTTGGTATCCAAGTTCAGCATGGTCCAGGCTGTCTGAGAGATGATCTTCACCAGCACAGGTCTGGTACTCTATTTCTGAGGCTGCTGAGGGCTTCTTCCACTGTAAACCAAGCCCTGCTTTATTCAGCTGCGCTACATTTTTACTGGTTTACAGCGAACTGTGAAATTGTGCATCTCTGTAGTTGTTTTTTGCTCAAATGTCTTACTGCTGACTCTCAGTGAAAGTGAACAAGGATGAGTTCAAAGAAAAGCTCCATTTTGTGCTAATTTATGTCCTCTGTTGAGTTGCACACCAAACGCTGAGGGTCACTGGGGCTGCACATGGGCAGTAGCCACAAGGAATTGGCCAATGCTGTGTCTGGCTTGTGTGCAGGGCTGTAAATTAATTTCCTCTGAAAGTTTTATCACACTGATTTAATCTACTGTGTTGTTGCCTACGCACCCAGAAGGTGCTGTTGTCATATGCCTCAAGGGCAGGGCCCTGCCACTTTATTAATCACAGTGACATTGAGATAATAGAAATAGCAAGTCCAGCCATGTGGGCAGAACTGTTCTTCTGAGCTGGACCTTGTGAAAACCAGTAAATTCTGCTGTATGTCCAATAACTGGACCCAGCTCAGACATTAAGACCTCAGGGGACGAGTCCTGCTCCAGTGAGATTCCAGCTACTGTTTGATAGAAACATCTTTCACCAGCTGGAATTGACACTGAGAACTGGAATGGTTGGACTGAGATGAAATGGTCATGGAGTACCAGAATGGTTTGGGTTGGAAGGGACCTTAAATCCCATCCCATTCCACCCCTGCTATGGGCAGGGACACCTTCCACTATCCCAGGCTACTCCAAGACCTGTCCAACTTGGTCTTGCACACTTCCAGGGATCCAGGGGCAGCCACAGCTTCTCTGGGCACCCTGTGCCAGGGCCTCACCACTCCCACAGGTAAGAATTTCTAATCTAAATGATAATTTCTTCTCCTTTCGAAAGCTGACTGGACTGGCAAGAGCCTGATTCTTCCATGCTCCTTGTCAATACTGCAGTTCACTGGAGGGATGTGAACTGTTGGCTTCCTTCCCCCTGTGCTCGTGCACAAGCACATCCCTCAGTGCAGGGGTGACCTTTTGCTCCCAGTCTCCTCTAAGCACTGGGCAATGCATCCTTCTGTTTGGCTTTTCCCTGAAGCTGCTGCAAAAGCTGCTGTCAGCAGGGTCAGGGCGGTCAGGCTCAGCCTGAGATTATAGAAATTCAAGCTCCTGGCTCGCTGCCCTGCCAGGCTGCAGGCTGGGAGCGCTGAGTGGAGCCCAGGAGCATCTCTGTCAGGATAAACAGATTAGGCCCAGGCCACTGTCCAGCTCTCATGAGATCAGCCTTGTTTAAAAGGGTGGTAATTCCTCTGGCACACAATTCCTGCTGGAGGGGCTGAGATGGGAGGCAGAGCTGGCTCTAAGCTGGCCAGATCTGCAGGTAAGCACAGGGAAGAAGGATGTGGAAGGATCCATGGGCTCAGCCCGGGCTGTGCTGGGCAGTGTCCCTCTCAGTCCCCTGGGGCATTCACTGCTGGCAGCTCTGTCCCCAGGGCTGAGAACCTGTCACACAGTGGCCCTGAGAGGCTCTCCAGGAGAATTCTTGTCCTATGAATTGGCAGCAACCAGGTTGGATTCAGGTGGCAGCTGAGCTTCTACCTTGAATTTGGCTCTTACATTTAATTCACTCTTTGGCTCTAATATTCAATCTAACAGGAATGACAACACAATCAGCAGGGAGGATTTTTTTCTTTACAATTTGGCATGAACCTGAAGGATTTGGAGATTCTGATGTATAAAAGCAGAAGTACAAAAAAAAGTCTTGTGATTCCTTTTGCCTCTCTGTATCATGATTCTCTTACAACAAATGATGGAATGCTAATGAAGCAAGGAGAAGCTGTAGCTGCCTTCAGCCCTTTCCAGCCTGCAATAGTGCCCACTGCTCTGGTCTAATTTCCAAAATCATTACTTTGTTAACTGGGGCATAGTGAGGGCAGGCAGCTCTGACAACCTCTCTGCTGGAGCCTTTTGCTTCATTCAAAAAAAAAAAAGTAGGCTTCTGCTTTGTTCCCTGTGTGACTAGAGTTTAAAGAGTCTGGTGGTAAGGCTGGAGGTTCAGAAGTGAGAGAGTCCCTCAGCATTTCCAAAATCCTCACTCCCTTTAATTCCCCAACAGTTCCCTCTGGTGTCTAATGGGATGATCTGAAAAAGATCTCATGCTCTTCTTCTACTCACTTTCACAAGAAGTGGGGAAAAGGACAAAAGAACAAACTTGCTAGAAATTCCTAATTTAAAAAAAAAGGCACATTGAAAGTAAAAAGTTCTATCAAAAATATAATTCAGGATGCCATGTAAATATTAGAACTTCTAAAGTAAACAAGTAGTCTCCCTGAGACAAAGACTTAAGTAATGATACTTTCCTAATACAAAAAGAAAAAACCTCACATGCTGAATTTAATCCACTCTTCAAAAGAGAAATTTTGTTTCACACAAGGGGTGTTGCAGATTTGTGTTTCACACTTTTGCATTTCCGAGACCTCTGCCCCTGAAATCTGGGTTTGGAGAGCCAGTGCTGGCAGCTTTTTTATGTTTTGGACCTTGCTGCCCTGAAACCATTTCTGTGCTGCCCCATTAAAAAGCGAGGACAGCCGAAAGAAAAAACCTTACGGAATCCTGATTGCAGCAGGTTCAGTGAGGATCTGCTGAGCAACTGTTGGCAGCCTTTTCCTTCTGTCAAGTGTTCAATGCTACAGGCTGCAAGTGCTGATGCTACAGGCCTTGGCAAGAAGGAACAAGGGCCCTTGGGGAAAGATAAATTGCATTGGGATCATCTTTTATGTGTCAGTCTAATTACAGAAATGTGCCTGGTACAGACAGTGCTGGACACACTGCAAAGGGGAGGACGGTGTTGGTGATCCATGGGACGCAGGCACAGCTGTCCCAAGTGTCACACAGGGCTGCAGGGCTGCAGGACTAGGAACTATTAACACATCAGAACACAAGTCCTCATATGCCTTGGCAGCTTCAACTCCTTTTCCAGATCCTTCCTTGGGATGTCATTCCATCTCTGTGGCCAAGCTCCTCAAGCCACATAGGTTTCTCAGTTTATGCATAAACAGATTAAGGAGTATCTCCTACAAGGCACACAGGATTTGGCACCTGGGCTCTTTGAGTGCTGAGCTGTTGTAATATCAGTAGCTTATTCTTATATTTTATAAGGCGGTGTCTCTTTTCTCACAGCCTTCAGTGGACCGGGAACATATCTGAGGCAGAGGTTTTGCCATTAATTCAGTGGCATTTTATTTCCTAGACCCAAGTAAAGGGTCTAGGAAATAAAAACCTTCGGGAGAGGCTGTTGCAGCCCGTGCCTGCACGGTGCCTGCGGTTTCAGACCCAGATACACACGGTCACACTCCCATCTAGTGGCTGCCACACACACACAGAACTCGCACCCTGCCGGGCTGCCGGCAGAGGCTTAGGTCGGGTATCAGGAACAATTTCTGCACCCAAAGGGTTCTCAAACCCTGGCACAGAGAGTCACCAATCCCAGAGGGATTTAAAGGATCTGTAGATGGGGCACCTGGGGACACGTGGCCTTGGCAGTGATGGGGGAACAGTCAGACTTGATGATCTTAAAGGCCTTTTTTAACCTAAATGAGTCCATGATTCTATGTAATGGGTGGGAAGTTGTCTTTGAGAGAAGATCCAGACTGGTCCCCCAGTCCTGTATTTGCCATACTCACAAGACCTGGGAACAGCAGCCTCTTCAGCAAGGACTTGCAACTGCATGGAAAGTTCCCAGCAGCCTATTCTGGGCTGGGGCTCTCCTTGGCCTGGGCTGCCAACCTCAGCCCCCCACAACTCTCCTGCTGAGGGGTCTCAGAGTTTCACCAAGGAACCAACCTGGACCAGAAAGCCAAGACTGTGCTGACCTGGGGTGGGCAGATACTGCACAGAGACGTTTAGAGGTGTGGGAAGGGTGAGAAGGTGTTGGGAGGTCTCTCAGTGGCAGCAGCCCCTCAATTCTGGCACTTTCTGATGCTCAAGGCAATGGCACATCCTCTTGGAAGGTTTTGGGTCTATCCTGGTGCTGTTGATACAAGCTTTTGGAGGCACAGGCGGCAAGGAGCAAATCCTGATGAGTCTGGCTCTTGTAAGGGTACTGTTCATAACACATTGGGTGCTTTCACAGGAATCTGTCAAAGCAGACACTGATCTGCCCTGCCATCCCCCTCCAGCCTCCTTTATTCCCTCTATCAGTTTGTGCAGCTGGGATTCTGATCTGGAGAGTCCTCTTTGTAACCTCTGTGAGGGACACAAGAGGTGTTGATCTGCTTAGCTTCAGTCTCTCTTTCAATGGGCAGCAGATAATCTCTTTAGAACAAGTAGGGCAGTGGAGGGGTGGGGCATGAGCTGAGCTAGGAAGGAAAATCTTAGAAACATCTTGTGACTGGATTAAAGTTAATATAAAGAAACATGCTAAAAGGCTGTGTACAGAGACCCTGGTCTGTCAGGAGATGAGGCTTCTCTGCACCCTGGGCAGTTTAAAAGAGGTCTTGGACCTGAGCTGGTCCTTCCCTGGACCTGGAGAGGCCCATTGCCTGCACAGGGCTGTGGGCACACTTTGCCATAGCAGTGATTATACCATGGTGCAGGTGGGCTTTTAGAGGTGTCAGCCTGAATCACAGAGAATTAGCCTCACCATCGTGATTAGAATCTCAGCTGGGCTTTTAACCACTGTCAAAAATATAATTCTTCAAGGGTTTTAACTCTTTTTGTGCTGCTGTTTCAGGGCTGGGATGAAGTCTGAGCTAAGAGGAAGATGGTAACTCACGTTTACTGTCCCTGCAGTCAGAGACACAGCAGGGATTGGGATGTCACCACTTCCAGGGAACTCCAGCAGCAGCAGCTGCCACCACAGTAGTAACCAGCTTGGCACAGGAAAAGTAGATATGGCAGGACCAAAACATGAAGTGCTTGTCCTTGCCAGCTACACGATCAGAAGGGTCACATCCCACTGTCACAGAGCTCCCCTCACCTGACACCATCTGTGATACTCAGCTGCACCACACAGGTGAGTTGCTCACCCCAAAATACTGATTGTATTCCCAGTGAAACCACTCAGGGCTGTGAACCCAAGGCCCTCTGGTGTGGAACATCCACTCACCTTCTGCCAGGGGGTCCAGGGTGTGGATCATGAGCTGGACGATGGTGCTGCGCATCTGGGAGTTGTGCAGGGAGGCTGAGCTGCTGCCCCGCTGCAGGGCTGCTCCACGCTGTGGGAAGGCACAAAGCCAGTCAGTTCCAGCTTCTTTGTCCTCTACATCAGGCAAGGCCTCTCCAGGCCACAGGGCAGCAATTCAACAGCAGCAGAGGAATCAGCTGTTCAGTGTTTGCTATGGGAAAGGACAGACCCCACCAGCCTCTGCTGTGAGAGCCCAGGAAGAAATTTAGTCACAAAACCAGGTAAGAAGAGTCACTTTCTGAATTTCTATATGCCTGTTTTATAGCAGAGAATGAGTAGCACTCTTCTAGTTAAATCCACATGGGAAGCCTGAGCTGTCTCTTAAATTTTATAAAAATTCCTTTAAGGACAGGACTCAGCCAGGTGTCCTCTTAAGCAAACTGTGGCCATTGTGCCTGATGTGATACAGACTTTGGCCCAGGCTTCTTGGCACAGGAGATGACACCTTTATGTATGACCTACATGGGGAGAGATTCAAAATACCATGACTTCAGATCCCTGTAAAGTTGCTCAGACCTACCTACAGCTTCCTCACATCTGGTGGCTTCATTGTTCCATCATCTACAACTGCCCCAGTGCTTGTCCGCAAGCAACGAAGAACAGAAGTGAGCAATCACCTCTGCTGCTTCAGGATCTAATGATCCTTCAGGCTGCTGCTTCTGGGGAAGTGGCACAGTGACACAAAGATGCTACTGAAAGAGCCACAGCCATGAACCTCTTTAAAACCACTGGCTTCTGAGAAAATTAATTCAGCCTCCCAGTGAGGATGCAGGCAGACTCACAACTGATTCCTGTAGCTGCAGACAGAATTTCCTCCAACATCTCTTAGTTGCAAGAGGCTGGGACAGAGGCCTTTTCCCCCCTGTTTACCAGAACTGCCTAATCTTATTCTCAGACCAAGAATATGTTCCTGCAAGTGTTCTTTCTGGAACTTCTTTACAACAACCAAGCACATCCTTGAAAGCAGCTAAGAGACATTTAGTAATTGCACAGGTAGAACTCCCTTTTAGTGATGTTCTCTGATTTCTTAGACTCTCTCTAGTTTGCATTTCCCCCATTTTAAAACACTAATCATTGACCAGTACCTGTATTCTGAGGTTTGAATATCTGCTTTGTGAAGGAGATGCAGTTTTACTTTGTGGTTTACACTAGAAAGTTATTTCCAGCTTGCCCTCTGAACTCTAAGGACACCAACCTTCGCCATATGCTCTGCTGATGCTGCCTGCACAGCATTTAGCTTCTTTTTCAGCTCCTGCTTCACCCATTGCTCTAGGAACACGTTCTGTTTCATGGTGAACACATATGTGGCATAGGCAGTCAGTAAAAGGAGGCTTTCCCACCAATCAATGACACTGTCTAGGAAAAACAGGATGAGCATCAGTAAGTCTACAATGTAGAATGAGATGTCTCTAAATAAGGGCCACCATGTCAGGTGGAGTATCTGCCTTGAGAAGAGGGCACAGGTGCCAATGACAAAGAGGATATTAAACACTGCTGAGCCCACAATGGTACCGATGCCGACATTGCTGTGTGAGATGAAGACACCTATGAGGGACGTGAAGAGTTCTGGTGCTGATCCACCTGCTGCCATGAAGGTGGCTCCAGCCACATCTTCAGAGATCTGCAGCTTCTCAGTGATCACTCCCAAAGCAGGGACAAAATACTCATCACACACTATGGCCAAGGCCACAAATACATACATCATGCCAAAGATGTGAAGTACAACCCACCCTTGCCTGCGTTCTTCCACACTGAACAGGTCCTGGGGATATTCTCCTTTGGACTCATAGGGTGGTTTTTCTCCTGGAGAGCTTTCACTGGCATTTTCTTGCTGTGGTGTTGTACCCACTGACGTGGTGATGGGCACAGCTGGCTCAGGATCCACGTAGATACAGTGCCTTATTTTGGGTGCTGTGGCATTGCCTCTTAGAGAAGTCTTGTTGCTGGGGAGGTCCCTGGAGATCACTCTGACAGGGTCTGTGGGTTGGGGGGCTCTGTGTGATGCTGGAAGGGCAGAAGGACTGAACTGGAGCTGGTAGAAAGAGAGGAGCAACACTATGGCAAGCAAGAACAGGATTCGGTTCCTCCGTAGCCGCCTCCTCCGTGGTAAATGCATTTCCTAAAGCTTCAAAACCCAGAGCCGTGTCCAGAAGCCACTGAAGACTTCACTTGGTCAGCAGTTTGCTGATCTGGAGCATCAGGATTGGAACTGCACAGCACAATATGGGGAACCCTGCGAAAGAATATCTGGTGTGAAAAACAAAGTACTGCAACTTTCCTCCATTTGGGGAGCAACACTTCACTGACTGCTTGTCTATTTTTCAATAAAAAGAAATGGACTTAAATGAGTAAAGAGAGATATAGATCCAGGTTACAGTCTATTTTTTTAATATTATTGTAAGCTATGCTCATATCCAGGAGCTTTTAAGGACTGCATTTACCAGAGTACAGTTGTTATTCTGTAATTTTATCAAGTGCGTCAGTGTTGTGCAGGAGGAGTGGATACGGCTCCTGTCAAGGAAACAACTTTAAATTGTTAGAAATGATGCTCTGAAGACAAGACCAAGATGATCAAGCCTCCCTCCTAAACCAACTTATTCACCAAAATAACCTCAGGAGGATGGAAACTGGTGTAGAGCTCCCAGTGATGCTGGTCTGTGGCTTTCCAGCCTTTCACTCCCCAAGAAACCATCCAAGGAAGGGTGAGGTTTTTCCTTCAGTTTGAGCAGAGGGTGAAGAAAACATGGTTCTAGTAAAACTGGGGGTGCTGAGCAGCCATTTGTTTCTATGACTACATCTTTTCAGGGCTTTCTGTAGGAATCAGAACTGGCAAAGTGGAATTCTAATCATACCTTTTATTAGGGTTAATTAGCATATCTTGCATAATTATGTGAACAACATTTAGAATGGAAGAGAAATTGTAAATGCCAGAGTGACAGTGCCTGCAGCTGTGACAGCACAAGGACAGGGATTTGGGGCTGGACAGAATTTACCCTTCAGCACTGTTTGAATGTTTTACCTTAGAATGACACTCTTCATGGATTATTTTTTTGCCCAGAGTGGGCATGTTACATTATTCTTTAGCAGATGTGAATCATAGTTTTCTAAACCACTCTCAGATAAGCTCTTCATGCAAGTTATCACACACTAATCCTCTTGCATAACACCCAGGGAAGTTATCAGACTAAATTTCTTGCAAAACAGGCAGTGTTAATTTAAATAGTTGGGAGGATTACTAAGGCAACAGTAAGAGAGGGTCATGGGAGTCCCTAGATAAATAGATGATACAAGGTTTGGTTCTCATGCATAAAAAGAAAATAAACATACATATGGCAGAACTGCACAAGAGGTATAACAAATTGCTTGTTATGAGAAAATAACTCTCCCTAATAAAGACAGCAGAGTTAAAAGAATGGCACAGAGAGAACACACTCATGCACACACTCCTATTTAAACACTGGTTTTACTTCTCCTCTCCAAAATGAGTTGCTCAAAAGACTTTTTTTGCGAGGAGAAAGACACCCAAAGCTCAAATCGGTTCTAAGAGCTTTCCAGCCTTTCCCAGTTCCTGACCAGAGGAATTGTTTCTCTAGTCTTGTAAGTTTAGGTTAACTCCTGATAAACTCCTTTTCTCACCTCCTGTCTCATGAGATCCAAGCAATCAAACAAACCTCCCCAGCCTACCTTCCAAAGGTCTGTCCAGGAGAAGGGGGAGTTCCAGGGGTTGGGTGTAGTGCTGGAAGAGTCTTTGGTGCTTAACAGCCAGAGGGAGATGATGTTCCAGAGAGAGGCAGGTGAAAATTATCCCATTTTCAGGATGTCTCCTCTGCTGGCAGAGTCCTAAAACAAGAGAGGGTCAGGTGTGAAGGACATGTTAGTGGAGGAATTCCCAATCCAGTTTAATACCCACAGCCCCTAAGAAGATTAAATAGCATTGTATAGATTTGGGTCTATCTCTGAAGCCAATGCCTTTGTCTGCTACCACAGGTTTTTCCCATTGTGAGTGCAGGTGATTATCCCCTTCACAAACTCCTGGACTGAAGCACCAGCCATGGACACGGATCAGCCTCACTGCACTGGCGAGGGGTAAATCACATTTATAAACACTTTTAAATACGACACATGGAGCTGCATTTTGAGGCATCTCCCATGGCTGACAGGCCAGATGCCACACAAGCAGCTCTGCTGGTCTTTGCCACAGTATGTGTCTACTTTGCAATGCCATAGGGAGTTTTAAAATTCGTTGACTCTTAGAAAAATCCTCCAGGGCCAGAGCACTGAGGCAGAGGGAGGGAGCAGGTACCTGGGGATGGTGTCTGTGACTCTTCTGGGACACTGATACGGTGCTGCTCTGCAGGGGAAGAAATAACATCTCTGGCCAAGGATTTAACAATCAAATCTAATCAATTTATCAGTCTAATCTAGATTTTAACAATCTAATCTAGATTTATCACAGGGGAATTAGAAAATTATTATTTTATTTCATGCCAAGGACATCAAAGTGCTAGAGCGTGTCCAGGGAAGAGAATGGATCTGGGAAGGGTCTGGAGCCCCAGGAGGGGCTGAGGGAGCTGGAAAGGGGCTCGGCCTGGAGCAAAGGAGGCTCAGGGGGAATTTCTGGCTCTGCTCTCCTGACAGGAGGGGACAGCCGGGGGGATCGGGCTCTGCTCCCAGGGAACAGGGACAGGAGGACAGGGAATGGCCTCAAGTTGCACATGGGGAGATTTAGGTTGGATATTAGGGAAAATTTCTCTACTGAAAGGCTTGTTCAGCATTGGAACAGGCTGCCCAGGGCAGTGGTGGAGTCCCCACCCCTGGAGGGGTTTAAAAGCTGTGTGGATGTGGCACCTGGGGACGTGGCTTATGGTGGCCTTGGCAGGGCTGGGGGAATAGTGGGACTTCATGGTCTTAGAGGGCTTTTCCAGCTAAACCATTCTGTGAATCTCTGATAATTTTAAACCGAACTGTTGTCTGAACACACAATTTCAGGAGTACATCCCAATTTTGCACTGAAGCTTATTGCCTCCCGCTTCCCACGTACAGAACCGGGGGAAGGAGGCGCAGTGCCCAGCCGGGATGCTTATCCATAAACCCTTCTCCACACGTAGCGATCATTTGTAGCCATGTTTTCCGTGGGCACGCCATTCCCTCAGCACGGACACCCCACATTCCCGCGGCCCCGCGGCGTCAGCCCTCACGGTCTGCCTGAGGCGCGGCCCTTCCCGCCCGGCTCGCGCCTTCCGGGGGGGGCGCTTTCCGTGCCGGACGCATGGCGGCGCGGCGGGCCGCGGTGTGCAGCAGCATTTCCCTTCCGCCGCCCTGCTCCTTGCCCG